CTTGAATCACTTGGATTAAACTAACCTAAGATCAAGTGATGATGATGAACCTACCTCCTCATAGAAGAATTCTGCAAAACAGTCAAACTAGGTGTATATAGTAATACAAAGTAGTGAAGATAGTGTCGATGATTCATAGAAGAACCGTATAGCTTAATTCATAAACTCTATCGAGGATCAAAACAAGATATTGTAACCTCATTTAATGTGAAATCAGTGGATCTTCTTTTGGATTGAGCAGATGCAGATGCAAATGATGAGTACTCTTGCTCAATGATAGAATCCATAAGAAATGCTAGTTTCGAAGGCACTTGAAGAGATACAGGGCTGCTACTAAGCATGAGAACAACAGAAGCCATGGTTGGCCTTCTAGCAACATTTTCTTGAACACATAGTGAGTCTAGTTGCATGCATCTCAACATTTCACTCCTCGAACCATCCCTCAAGATGGGATCAATAAAATTCAAAGCAGTCCCTTCCATCCAATTTTTCCATGCCTGCATAGATTGAAAAATCTCTAGCTTGTTTAGCCTTAAAATAAAGTCTCTCAATTCTTGGCATGATTATTTGACTTTTAAAGCACAACAAAATGAAGCTAGGGTTAAGTATCACTTACATTAGTGAGAAGATTCTACCTTTCTCCTCCATTACCAAGATAGACTTTTTGACCACTGATGATCTCAAGAAGTAGTACACCGAAGCTGTAAACATCAGGCTTAATTGAAAAATGCCCATTCATCACGTACTCTAGAGTAATATATCCACTGGATGCAATAGCTAAAGTGGGGATTCATGTATTTGGACTACACAAAAATGGTACTCCAAGGTGATTCTTATACTTAAAGTGTTGCAACAATTTTACTCAAATTACCTTGCATTTGATCCCTTACAAATAACCTTGCCATTCTAAAATCTGAAATTTAGGGATTCATTTCTACATCTAATAGAATATTGGTAACTTTTAAATCATGACTGATGATTCAATATTGAGAATCTTCATGAAGGTACAAAATGCTTCTAGCTATTCCCCCTATGACATTGTATCTTTTGTTCCAATCTAGTAGTAAAGGTTTGATTGGATCTACAAGTTCACAAAATTACAAAATTAACGGGTTTAAATACATCAGAAAGAGAAATATAATCTACTGTTGCAAATGAGGTACAATACTAACACAGTTTCTCTAACAAAAAGAATTTCAAACAAGTTCAGGTCAAGCATCACAAATAAAACGAACAAGAATTAATTCTTAAGGTGAAAAAAAGAGAGAATGGACGGAATATAAAGTGATCAAAGCTTGATGAGTGGGGAGCAAACTTAGAAGAGAAGCCTTTCATTCCCTTCCAAGCAAAAACCTAAGAGTATAACCAAATTCCTGTGTTGAAGTCATGCCATTAATAAAACTTCCTTCTTAAATTCAGTCTCTCCTTGTTCAGAATTTATAGAAAGACTTTTTACAGCTATATCTCGCCCATCTTGAAGCTTTTCCTAAAGTTGAAACAATATTTAAGGAAAAGGTTATGATTAAATATAAATGGAATTTATCATCTCTTCAATGAATTAGAAAAACTAAACTAATATCACTATGATAGAATGAAGACTTTTCTACGGTAGGGTATATTAACAAAAGAAAAAATTTTCTTTAGGTTATTATAAACTATAGGCGCAGAGGAAGCTAGAGTAAACACATAATAGAGTAGGCGAAGTTACCTTATGAACAACACCAAATCCACCTTGTCCTAAATTGTTGTCGCTGGAAAAAAGTTATCAGTGACAACCCTTAATGTGCCCAAGTCAAATCGCAAGGACTCAGCACTAATACTGTCACCAGCACCTTCATTCCCGTCCAAACCTTCATATAGAGGGAACAAAAAAATGAGTTAACACGTGAACAAATCCCATTAGGCCGTGCTTTCTTCGTCAATCATTAACTATAATTTTATTTTTCCAAGCCTACAACTACAACCTAATTAATCATGGAATGCTTTCTTCTTGTTCCTATGAAACAACACTCACCCTTAACTTCCTGCTTTGACTTCCATCTCTTTTGGAGAAGGGAAAAAGTGATGTCAAGAATTGCCATGAAACGAGTGGTTGAAACAACAACAACAATTATAACAGTTTGTGTAGAGATCCGCTATTGTCTGCAAAACCAGAAAAATGTTTGTAGTTACCTAACATGCTTTAGAATAAATTCCCAATAAAATTCAGATTTTTATGCATACTTTTGATGTTACACGCAAAGGAAGTACAATCATATTTGTTCTACCCAATATGAATAAAATCCATTTCCCCAAGGATAGTTGTACTTACCTTTTGCGGTTGAGGTATTATTTGAATTTGAAACTAGAGGACTGCTAGAAACCAGAGGGGGACTGCTAGGTGGTGGTGGAAGAGAGGTATAGAAGGGATACAAATCCAACCGGAAAAAACAGGTTGGTTTCTTAACAACACCCCCTCGCTTCCCATGGCAACAGTTTTGATAAGCACTCACGGACTGCCTCAGGCATGTATCACAATCACTTCGAGATAAATCGGGATTGCACTGCACAAGGGCATTAATTGTTTGAAATGGTGTCAACTTCGTTTCCCCTGCGGCAATCTTAAAACTAGAAGTTTCAGCAGAAGCATTTCTCACTAAACCATCCAATTAATTCTCCCAAATCTGATCAAACTGTAGCGAATTTACGGTGAGATCACCAGTGTTAGAGTTCAAAACTTGGAGATAGCTCAAAAATTCTGAAAAAGTAGCGGTTTGCATAGTGTATCATACAATCTTCCATTGAAATTGCTTCCTTTTGGTTTGGACACTGGGTGATGAGGTCTTGGATTGTTGAATTGATACAAGTGGAACAATCCTTTGCAGAATGGTCTCCCCTGCAACGCGCTAGAGCATATACTTTGTAGGGATCTTCACGGTGGTATTGTAGAAACCACCTTTTTCAAAGGTATTAGAGGCTAGAGAAGAGAGAGCGAGGTCGCGGTTCCTACCATATGTACCGTTTACGGTGAAGTTCCCAGTATTGTAGCAGTACTTAGCAGATTCAGCAATGTCAAAACTAATTAATGAATGTAAGCACGCTGAGGAGAAGAAGAAAAACCAGGTAATGAAACCCCATTACGAGATTATATTCGTGTTTGCGAAGCAAGAAGCATCAAATCGGAGTTTTCTACGTTTCACTTACAGAAAGTTGCTGTTTTCTTACACTTTGTCTTGATTGTGGGAGTTGGAGAGGAAATAGAGTAGAGAAAGAGAGTACCTT